GCGGGTTGTTTTAGAATTTGAGCAGAAGAATAAGCCTTGCTACCAATTTAGTCTCGACTGTTCATAGTTCACGTTTTGACGAGAGTGAGGTCATTTACCTGATTATCCTTGGTTTAAATCACGTAAAACGCTCATAATGATTGCTTGGGCAAGTATCGAGATGATGGACAGACCCCTGTTCTTTGCCTTGAAAAGTAAGTTTTATTCTTAATGATCACTTTTCAGTACAAAAAATAAAAATTTACTGGCCCATGTAAGTCAGTAATAGGTCACACTAATGATGTTTGACCATGGAAGCACAACGTCATCTGTTATGCCAAAGAGTAAAAAGGTGATTCAGCCGAGATTTATTTTCTGACAAAATATTTCTGTAATTATGTAAGCCCCCGTTTGGCTTCCATTATTCGAAATTTTAATGGTTGGAATTTTATTTTTTATTTTTTGAAAAATGTGTGGTTAAAAAAAATTGAAGAAAATTTGTTGGTATTACGTTAATATTATTTTATTAGAGAATGTGTGGTTGATAAGAAGAGAGAAAAAAATGAATTATAATTTTAATGGGAGCCAAACAATCATCTGATATTTGAACAGATATGATGTATGAGAGCAAACCATCTTGAGATTTTGCGAGTTTTTTCTGGGATTTTTTAAATGCTTATATCTGAAGAGTACTGGGAACCTCTGAAAATCCTCTATGGACCCTTTACCATACTTTTACTATTACTCCATAGGCAGTTCGTTTTATACTTCAACTTCCTTTATTAACTATGATATTATGGAGGCCCAGAACCAGTTCTCACCGTCAATCCGAACTTGTAAATCAACAAGTCTGATAGATATTGTTCTCTCTGGGTTTATGCTTATTGAAGATTTGACCTGCAAAACAATGTTTTAACTCCAATATCCATTGCACTGCTTATATTGGGGCTGAAATTAGGTTATGTAGATGACTCCATTTAATGATTTGGAACATATGTATCATATGGTTTTTAATTATTTAATAATTTTGGAACGTATCATGTGGTTTTTACATTATTCACAAGATACACTCCGTAGAAAAGACAAAATTGAGAG